AAATAGATCACATCACACAGGGAACCAGCAGCTCTTAGTCCTTGCTCCCAGCCTCTTGCTGTGGTGACAAATTCCAGCCCCTGGTCTAGCCCTTCGCTCAGGGGCAAACTGCAGTTTTTTGATAGGCTGCTCTCTTTGGCAGCAAGTGCAACAGACCTGCTTGCTTCTCTGGGCCCCACCCCCAGGACCCTCTAGCAGCAGTACTTACTACCTCTCCTTCAAGTTCTGCTGCTTACTTCTTTATCCTTGGGCCACTTCCCCATAGCCCCAGCACCTTCCCTGCCCCCTATCGGGGCTTCACTCTGGCAGCCAGTCAGGCTGGAGCTCCACTTGTTCTCCTGACCATGCCCCACACCACTCTTACCCTGACACTACCCTTTATAGATAGCTACTCCTTCTCCCTCAGGCTCTGGAAAGAGACTGCTCTCTGCTCTACTGAACAGTCCTTTTAATATGGCTCTCACTGGCCCCTATTGGCTGCTCCACCAAGCCTTCTTTCCATTGGCTCTCTCTGCAAACCCTCCTCTCAATGGCTGGGCTTTGCACAGCCTCTTCAAGGGCTACTTTAACCCCTCTTCTCCCAGAGTGGGAAACTGTACCACTACACCTCACCTTGTGAATACCCCCACCCAGGAGCGCCGCCAGCTTTTCTGCCACCCAGGGCGGCGGAAGGTCCCGCCCCGAAATCCCGCCCCCCCCCCCACCCACAGAGGCGGCAGAAGTTTCTGCCGCCGAAATACCGCTGCGGTCGCTGCCCCCCAAATTGTAGCAACCTAGGTGACCACCTAGGTCACCTAATGGTTTGCGCTGGCCCTGCCCCCACCGCATACCCTCCAGCACCCACCACTCTACCCCCTCCAGCTCACCTCCCCTCCAGCTCCCACCCCTCATCAGTGTCCTCTTTTTGGGCACCTGGGATATGATCACCCTGGCAACAAACATACAGTAAAATCTCACCATTCTACATGCACTGGTGTTACATGCATTTCCACGGCAGATCATGAGTTTTCCAAGGATCCCTCATCAGACCTACATTGTACACAATATATCAGAACCATACATAAGTGGTGAACATGGGGCATGGGGTGAGGGGGGCAAAGAGAGTCTCTGTCATCCCAGCACAGGACACTGAGGTAGATGGGGAGGGGCTGACCAGCTGGGCTGTCAGGTTTCTCATCTCCCTCTGGCCTCAGTGATGGGGGTCAGCCTGGCTTCAAGGCTGCCCTGGTCTGTTGACATCCCCAGCTCCCTTCTTGCCTGAACCTAAGTTTGGCATCTCAACAACAGGGAGATGCTACCCCCTCCCTTATCATTGTTTGGGGTGTCGTTCATGGTCCTTTAGAGTTCAGGGGGAGCTTCACACAACACTCATAGGCCAAGTCTAGTCGCTCTCTGGCATTGGTGCAGCGAGTTCACAGTTCTCAGCCTCAGCTGTCTGGCTCTGAGGAGCAAACCCAGCCATTTCCCAGCTCTTTTCCACCAACTTCTCCCCCTCCCAAAGGTATCTCACGTCACTGCAGGGATCAGGCAGTAACTTCATTTCCATTTCAGTCTCTGCCTCTTGGAGTCTCAATCTTGCTCTCACTATCAGTGTTCAGGCTGAGAGATACTGATCACCGTCATTGTTCAAACCACACCCAAAAAGCTCACGACAAAGGGTTAGAGAAACATTAAAATAAAATCTAAAAAAGGACGATTCTGACAAATGACCATTTGTCTCTTGAAATCTGCAATAAATCTGTGACACATCCTTTCAAACTAAACTAGTATCAAAGTATGAGACCTCACGGCCTTCACCAAGAAAGAGAAATCCACAGTTCAGGGCGGGCTATAAAAGGTGAAATCGCAAAGAATCCTTTAAGACTCAAAATCAGGAAAAGCAATTTACCCATTTTCTTCTGAAGTGGCTAAACTGGCTTCACTTCTCGCCTCATTATTCGGCTGTATGAGTTACAAAAGTTTTACCACCATCATAATAAAAGAAAGAGAATGAAAGACAAAAAATCTTCCCATCTACAAATGATCTAGATTAAATCTAGAAAAAGCGGAGAAGCAATGTTACCAATAGATGGAAACAGGGCTATAAAATCTGTGCTTTGAAGTTCATAGAGATTTCCCTGCCCACTCCCAGGTCTGTGACACCTCCTGTTGCCTGACCTTACTATGACCGGGGGTATACCCACCTCCAATTATTTCCCCCCAGCAGTCCGGGGTGGAGAGAGGGATGCTAAACCTCTCCTCTTTTTCTCAGCCCTGCTACGACCGAGGGTGTGTATACCTTTTAATCATAAAAATTCTCAATGCACGGTATTTTGCTATTCAAATAAGATTCAAACCTAAACTCCTATTTCCTTCAGTTTGTGGTTAATTAACTGAAAGTTTTCAATTTTTCCTAGAGTGCCAGGCTTATTAAAGCTGGCGGTGTGCACACCAGTTTTTATAATTGTGGATTTTATGCTTTCTCTCCCTTTGCAGTCTCCACCAATAATGTTATGCAGACAAAACTACACAGGATCGTTTCAGGGGCAAGACAAAGATGCCACATTTATTATATAACACAATTTGATTTATGATCAATAACTAATACCTATATACACACACATCCACTAGATGTTCTGCAGCTGCTGTATACTGACCAGTCCTGAACGTAGCTTGAGTCCGTGGCCTGATTTCGGAGCTTGGATTCATAGCTCATAGCGGCTAACTGGCCAGGAAAGCCGGGCACAAGGAAGGGCTGGGTCTCTGTTGGGCATGCACCGATGACTTTCCATGTTGGCAGCAGAATGTTACCCTCCAAAGTCTTCCATCCCACCCATCCTTTTTGTAGGCTTTAGTTTGAATCCAGAGTCTATAGGTCTTGCTGTGTCACGCTGCCTTTGGGTTTGGTGATTGATCACCCGTAAGTTGCAGACGTGACTTTCAGCCTGGGACCGGGCTTTGATCTTCCTTCTATTGTACCTTTGGTCTTCTCTTTTTGGGGTGGACTCTTCTTACTTTGTTAGGGCTCTTGTCTGCATCTTCAGCGGTTCGTCTTTGAACTCTGTTTCATCAGGAGAGGCTGGCGCTGGAGGTTGATACCATCATCCATACATCCCCCATTCACACATCTAAACTAAACTAATAAGATTACAGCAGGGTTTTGCAAAAATGAAGGTTGCAGCAAGCCCTTCCAAAATGGAGTAAGCGTTTTAAAATGGGGTTTCAATTACAATATGGCAAACAGTGAACAGAAGTTACTGAAACAGTGCAGGTCTCAGGGATTTAGGCAGGAATTGGATTGACAGTGAAATTTACAAGATCAACTGGCTGAATAGCTATGGATCTTAACAAGCATTTTAATTGTCAATTAGCCAGTTATTGGGGTGACCGGTTTATGAATGAAAGTTGTTTATGAATGAAAGTTTATGAATGAAAGTTGTTTCATTCATAAACTTTACCTATGAAGTTACATTAAAAGTGAACAATTAAAAACAATTTCATTCATCAGTTCTACAAGCCCCTCCCCAGGCCCACCGGAGCTGCTGGGGAGAGGAACCCCTCCCTCAGACCGGCCCAGGACAACAGAAGCCCCCGCGGCTGAGGAGAGTTGCCTCTCACCTGGCCCCAAGTTGTTGTGGTGAGAGAGGGCTGGGGGCAGTCCTCTCCCCACCAGTCTGCACCCCAAACCCCTCACCCGCAGCCCCAACCCACAGCCCACATGCCTAGCCAGAGCCCTCACCCCTTCGCACCTCATCCCTCTGTCCCAGTCCTGAGCCCCCTCCCACACTCCAAACCCCTCGGCCCCACCCCCACCACATGAATTT